GCGCGACGGTTCATTGCTCCATCTATCGATATACCGAAAATCTCGCAAACAATCGGATACAAATTCTTCTTTTCTAACCGTTTGCTTTCTCATTTTCAGATGCGTGTCTTCGGTGCCAAGCGGAAAGTAAAAAGGACGATAGCCGACAAGACTGCGTGGTAGTTTGGGGAGAATGCAATCATTCGTTTCACTACTGCTGCATGTCGCTTTGGGTCCAACAAAACAATCGTTGTCCATTGTGCCAGCAAGAGTGGTCGATTCAACGAATGGGAAAATAACCTAACCAACCGAGAGAAACGTTAACCACCGTCTGTCTCTTCCTTTCCATTACCTCTTCAACGTCCTACCCTTTCTCTTCGATCCTTCATTTCCTTCCCTCTGTTCCATTTTTCCGTTCAACACAACCAGAAGCTATTTATTTGCATAATCGTGAAAAGAAATGTTGTGGGAAGAACGTATACTGCCACACTCCGGATTATTATTATATTGATCGAAAACGATATTATCTTAATGATGGTTTTACAGCCAGGCTGTTAATCGCAAAGATTATGTCAAAACAATGCTCGAACAGCGTCGTAAGTTGCACATTATTTTGTTACAATCTCCAAGTGCAAAGTGCATTCTTCCGTCTGCGCTCACATTATCGCATAGTCTCTCGATTGCGTGATCTTTAATGATTATCGAAACGATTCCGTTGCGTTGCGTCATAAACGAAAAGATAATAAAGCCGTCGCTAAATATCGGAGGAGAAAAGTTCAATGTCCATGTTTCGTGCGACTCAGGCATATCGCCGCAAAGCCCGATCACACTTTCCTATTTCCACCAGTTCATTCACTTGGAATACGTCGAAATAATTGCATCATTTATATCAACTTCTTGTGAAAGTAGAAACCATGAATTTATTTGAAAATCTTGTTATTCTAAATAAAAAACGGTAGAGGTTGATCAATGGCATAACGTTTTATTTACGATCCAATACGATTTTGGAATTCGGTGATTCGACGCGGCGTGACGCGACACACGTAAGCACGTAATCGCGAACGAAACGCTCGAAGGTCGTTCTTTCCTGCTCTTCTACGCTCTTTGCCCGTTCGTTCCAAGTATCCCTGTCTGCCTGCTCTGCTCCGTCTTGTGATTCTTCCTTTTTCTTCCCCTTCCTCCACCTCGCCGCCAGGGTTATCGTTGCCCGGCGTTATGTGTCGTCATGAGCACGGAGGCTCGCCTGGAGGCTCGACCAATCGAATGGTAGAAGGGCATAACAGCGGTTATATTTATGACCTCGTAGTTCCCGCCACCTCCTCTCTTTCTTCTTTCTCTTCTACATCCTGCACTCTGCACACTCTCACTCCCCCCTCGGTACCTCATCCATCCTCTCTCCCTCTGTCATCCCTACCACTCTATTGCGTCGTCTTGTTCCTCCGTTTTCGTCTGGCTGACGCGTGACGCGTGCACACACGCACGTCCAACGCGCGCAATCTCTCCTTCTTTTCTTACCCCGCTATTTATCCTCTTTCTTCCCTTCAAACTTGCTACCCTCTCTCTCTCCCTCACTTCCATAGCATTTCTTACCAATCTTGAATGTTCAGCAAATTCTCGTTAATGGTCAACTTTTCGGGGTGGCGTTCAAATTTTTATTCCACCGACTGACTCTATCGCCTGGCTAAATTCGAACGTGATATTTTTATAGTTTTAACGAAACGTCCTGACACTTGTGGGAAAACTAACGCAACGATAATTCTACGAATCCGGCTGGTGTAACACCGCGTCTTCTTTCAATCTTCTGTGCAACGAAAAGATTACGAACAACGATAAACTTTCATAAGGTATTTATATACCTCACGTGAATCATCGTTCCAAGTATTTATCGTCGAAATTATCTTGCTTGTTACTTAAGAACACCTGTATGAGTGATAAAGGTGAAGTTTCTTCGTTAAAATAATGAAGTTTTAGAATAACTGTGTAACGTTCGCACGAATAGCGATGGTCGAATGTTGAAATAAAATTTTCCATTGCCGGTAAAAAGAGTGAATCGTTTTAATGCTACACCCCTCTTTCTCGGGCTCTGAGTCTCTGTCTCTCTATCGCTCAACTATCAAAGGTACTACATACACATCGTCGAGAACAGCAGAGAAAAAAAAAATGAAATAAAATTTTCCTAAAGGTAACTGCGCGTTTTACCGATTTATTTTAAAAAATATCTCGGGGCATCTGACACCGCGACGCAGATTCTATCGAAGCTGGGGCGTGCGTGCGCGCGCGCGACTTCCCATATTGTGCATACGTAGGAATGAAAACAGTTAGGTATCGATACGGAATGACGCAATGACACGCAAATTTGTTCGTCACGCTTCTCTTGAAAGGCGGACACGCGACGTCGACTCGAGTTGACCTCGAGTCGAGCCTCCGTAAAACGTCTTTTCATTGGTTCTCTACTCCGATAATAATCAAAGCACAGACTATGGTTCTACGTATATTGTAATTTATTATTTCACGATACGTACCACTTATTCTACACAAATAACTATGAACTTTTAAGCGTTGAAAAGGTTAATGTTCCAAGTATGTCGACCGAGTGTAATTACTCGTTTTCTACTTTTAGAAAACCGCCATCATTTTTCCCCGTATCGAATTTCTCTGTTCGCGATATAACGCGCCAATTTGCAGCGTTGCTAACGTATCAGAGCTTACGTTGCGATAGATTTTTTAGAATGAATTATTGGTTAAGGATGCCACCATATGTAGAGGCATGCGGTTACGCAGCTGCGCACATTCACGTTGTGATGCAGGTATGCCTTCTGGACACGAGTACCGGTCATTTTTTTTTCATTTTCATCTTTAAATTCCATAGAGGAGTAAACATTCTTAACGAAGGAGGAAACGTCACGAGTGGACTGTTAATGTCGCGTCTATGTTATGCTCGAAAGAATTTTTTTTTCCTCGGGTAAATGTTCACAAGTCGTGAACTGTGCGGCGTGACTTATCCACGTTACGATTAATGAAAAAATCATCGATTAGATTGATTGAGAAACATCGGTGGCGCCAGTGATGAAGCATGACGCGAAGGTCGCTTCGGTCGAACGGAGGCTCGTCACGTTCCACCAATCGGCTGGTGGTATTTCAAAATGCCTTTCTATTCGGGCCCCGGTACGTAATATGTAGGTACTTACACTTACATGCATGGAATCGTACGGTACTGATGCCCCTTGCTCGCGATTAACAGGTAAGATAAATCGATTTCATTTTACGTATACGGCCTGCTGGAATTGTAAGTACATTTACTTCCACTTATCGTTCGATACACATATTTCTTCACGTGCATGGGATTCCAATTAAAACAGGATTGTGAAATCAATCAACTGTATAGAAATTCATTCTTGCTTTTTTCTTTCTTACAGACGTGAAACAATCAGAGTTCAAGTAATACGTAATATGTACATCCTTAGAAACTGTGAACGTACCATGGAAATCTATCGATACCGAAATGAAAAGTGCCTCGTTCATTTTGCCTTATGTTTAACGTGTATTTTCATAAATGCATTATTTATACGATAAACTCGAATTATGTCCGACAAATTTATTTTCTACTTTGTCGCATATGATCAAGTTTCATAGCTGATTATCAGAAACAATTCATCGACCCCCCCCACTGCTACGAATAATCGACGTTCTACTACGATCATTTGTACAGAATTCGATCGTATGGAAGAAAAAAAATTGTGAATTATTATCAGAGACGTATAGTGGAAGTACAGCGACTGTTTTTCCACAAAGTTTTTACCTTTGTTAAAGGGTATATCTATTTATAAATGGCAGGTAATAGCTACTTGTGATTCACACGTCATTCTATGAGAACTGTTCTTCAATACGTATGATTTATCTATGCAACGATATTCGGTAATATCTACATTTTGTAAATGTATTCTATTGCTACGTATACCTTATGTTATCACGATCGTAAATCGCCTATCCGATCGATGGCCTTTGTCCGTATTGTATTTTGATCTTTCATTCGATCAAAATAAATGGCATTGGGTATCGTTGCGATTTATCTTAACATACTTTGATGTAATGAAATGACTATTCTTCGAAACCTTTATCGTTCGTAATTCGACGTGTGAAATATTTAGACGACATCAAAACCACAGCTTAACGCCACTTCTTCCCTAGCGCACCTTTAAACTTACGATATCCCCCTTTACAATACGGTGATTATGTTAAGAATACTGAATGAAGCGCGCAACATTTAACATTTCTGTATATTTCCAATTGATTTTTCCTCCTTATTTATCGCGTTTCTTGGTTAATCTTTAGAAATTCAACGATCACGCGTACAATTACAATCATCACGCATCGTATAAATTAAATGTCTGGTATGTTTCTTCTTTTTTAATTAATAACGCAATATGCACCGTGTCGATTTAAACAATGTATAACTTGACCTTCTTTCTTTTCGTGGTCAAATTCACCTTATCGATACTTCTGAATTAAATATGACTTCTCAATTTAGCACATTATCTTAAGTACAAGCGTTTACAAAAGTACTTTTATTCGAACAATTATTAGTCGCATTCCTTGTCGTCGTCGTCGTCGTCGTCGTTTAAATTAACGAACGGTATGAGATTCGTTTTTAGTATCTCGCAAATGGTTTCACGGGTAACGAATTGTGAAATCCATATCGAAATAAAGAATGTAAATACAAGGGACAAAAGAGCACAAAAAACGGTGCTGCTTACGAAGGCACTTGAGTGTACAATGTTTTTTTAAATAATTCGATATATAAAAAATATCTTTTACCATGCTCATGCCTATCACAGGCAATGTAGACACATTTGTAATATAACGTTTCTAAGTTAAGGCCACGGAATGGAATGTAAGAATTGTTTAACAATCAAAGGCCACTTGAATGTTTCTATACTCTCTACATATTCTAAAGTTTAAAGTCTAACAACAAACTAAAAAACGATCGTAGACACGATTAGTCTTGTAACTCATGTCCGTGTTAATGAATCAGTTACCGCGTTCCTTCTTTTTTACATCGACGTGTCAACAGTTCGTATGCCTGGATCCTCTCATCAGTGGGATTAAAATACTTGGACTTTGCGCCTGCCTAAGAAACGGATGTTGCAACAATTCAGTTGCCGTAGCTCTTTGTGCCGGATCTCGAACGAGCATTCTTTCCAGAAAACCTTGAAGACGTGGGCTGACCTTTATGACAATAACAAGAAGAAGAAGAAGAAGAAGAAGAAGAAGAAGAAGAAGAAGAAGAAGAAGAAGAAGAAGAAGAAGAAGAAGAAGAAGAAGAAGAAGAAGAAGAAGAAGAAGAAGAAGAAGAAGAAGAAGAAGAAGAAGAAGAAGAAGAAGAAGAACAACAACAACAACAACAACAATCGTAATTAATTAATATGCTTTCACATCGGTTAGGTGAAATATTTTCAGCTTACTTTATGTGAATTTTTCAATTTTGGCGGAGGCATATCTCTAATACGTCTCATAGCTTGTAGAGGAGGTTCGTTAAAAAATGGTGGTTCTCCATCAACCATTTCGATAATCATTATACCTAATGACCAAATGTCTACTTCGGGACCATATGGTAACCTGAAATGTCAAATATGAAATGCATATCATTTCTTCACTGGACTACAAACAACTGAAAATAATTGTAAAACGAAGAAGAAGAAGAATTGCACCTGGAAATTACTTCTGGGCTCATCCAGTACGGCGTTCCAACGAGAGATTTTCGCCTTGGCAACTCCTGCGATACTTGAGCACAAAATCCAAAGTCGGATAACTTTACCCTACCGTCAGCCGTTAATAATATGGAATCGGACTTGATGTCCCTATGAATAACACCTTGGGAATGCAAATACGCAAGTGGCTTCAAACATTGAGAACAAACTGTGGCTATCTGACTTTCGTCCATGCGAGAATGCGTAACAATATCCGTAAGCGCTCCACCTTCCAGATATTCCATCACTACCCACAATTCGTCGTCTACCAAGAAACTGTCGTACATTTCGACAATATTTGGATGATGATAATCTCTCATGATAACCACTTCGTTAAAAAGTAATTCACGTCTCTGTTGTTTTCTCAAGTCCATTTTTTTCACTGCCACTTGCCGATTTGTATTTTTCTCAGTTGCTATACATACCGTTCCAGTACTACCTTCACCGATTTTAAGGAAATTTTCTAAATTTTCTCTTGGGTCACCTCGACTTACCTAAAGTTTTCAATCGATTAAAAAAAAAACGGATAAGAAATGTTCATATTGTTAATCCTTGTTAATTTCGATTTCTCTTTTCTTACCACCATCTGTAAGGCCGCTCGAAATTGTTCGTGAGTGAGTCTCTGTTCCGCTGTTTGTTTATTAGATGTACTCGAGCCTGAACCAACTGCTAGATTTCCCGAAGACAGAGCGCTTTTCATGTTCTGATTTTGATCCGGAGTCGCACTATTTCCGGAGGACGGTAGATTCGACTTTGATAAATTATGCATCGACTGAGATGTCTCGATAGGTTTCTTTATATGAGGTTGCAAAATTGATGAATTTTCTGGTGTACTATACGCTTGTGAATATTTATTAACATTATGTGTACTCAATTGACTCAGTGGTCGCTGTGAAGCGATAGACCCTACGGGTGAAATTTTAGGTTGCAACTTATGTAAGAGAGTATTTTGAGTGATTTGTTGGTCCCTCGAGGATGGCTCGATGTTTGAAATCTGTATAGGAAGAAGAGCGAATGGTGTGTTAAAAAGTGAATAAAATGTAACAACTAAGTATCCCATCCCTTACCTGAACATTCCCATTGTATTGACCAGACACTGTGGTCATTTGAGCGTTTGTTAACCTATGGAATTCAGACTCTGCTAATTGAGGAGTACTTGGACTTTGCGTAGGACATTGTGGAGTTGTAATGGGACTCAAATTTTGGAAATTTAAAGACAAATTCGGGGCATTCGATCCAGCATGTGTTAAATTAGGAGATGACTGCATGTTTGGATTAAGATTTTGAAGATTTGGAATCATATTTTGCGCATTAGGATTCAATCCACCTATAACATTGGAAGAATTCTGCCGTAATTTATCAAGGTAATTATGTTGTTTTCCAAAGTTAGCATATCCTTGTACTTGATTAGTACTGGATGGTATTTCTTGTCCTTCTGGCACGGATGGTGGCAAATTACTGTTATGCCTAAAAAATAGCAGCACAACAAGATACTTAATACCTGTGATTGTGTACACTAGTTTCTTTGAAAGAAGAAATTACCTATAATCTCTTCTGAGTCTTGGTGGGCTTGAAGAACGAAGAGAATTAGATCTGGCAACGGTGCTGGTTTTGGGTAATCCATTTTCAGTACTTTTTTCTCCAGTAGACGTCCTTCCTTTAGGATCATTATGTCCCCGAACAATAGTTTTCAAATCTAGAATTTCTGTAGGTGTAATTTCACTTGGATCTACCAAGGGTAATGGTCTATTTGTGGATTTCAAAATTTGATTGTTTCCAACAATAGAAGCCCACTGAAGTGGAAGCCCGATGAATTTTCCCTCACGCTTATCAAACCCTGTATGTACACGATGTTCAAAATTTGTCGGAGTAGATATTTGTGGTTTCTTTTTCTTTTTGGCAAACATTGCCTTTTCTGTAACAAGGGCAATGTTAAAATGCTTGAAACATCTGCATATGTTCATACAGCGTGTAGTGTTTAGGGCGTGTTTAGTTATACATATTTGAAATGGAAAAAACTGAATGAAAAGCAACAAGGTTGAATCTGTCAACTTTGCCAATCTGCGTTTATCACGGCCAATGCTTCTGAATCTTTAAATAACAATTTTTATGCATTAGCGAATGCGTGTGGTGTTTGAAAGCGAATAACGTTTGTTACGATTCGGGATAAGAAAATACTAGAACGCGTATTGTCGCTGAAAATTTAGAGGAAATAACGAATATGAAGGGAAGCCAAATGACAGCAACGCCTACCAGTATGTGATGCGACCGCCTTAAAGAGGTTCCTTTGATTTGTTGGTTAGATCCTGCAGGAATTATTATTTTCCGTTAGCGTTACAGCGATTTGTAAAAATGCCAAACACGAGATAGTGTCGAAACATAAAAGAATTGAGTAGTTAAAATAGGTAAATACGGCATTTAGCCTTTCGACAGGTAGTTTACACACCGGCGCTCCGCGCGGAGAGCTTACGAATCTTACCTGGCATTTGGCTCGTGACAATTTACTTAAATGTGCGTGAGGTAGCACCTGCAATGAGATTACCACAAAGAACGTAACGCACAGAAAACTGTGTCGAGAGAAAGCGATTGCCGATCATGATTCAAAAAGAAAAGGTACATCGATTTATGATTATTCTAGCTAGCTAATACGCTAGTCTATACGAACACGTTGTGTTTGCAAGAGACACAGTCGAACGAGAAATTTTTCGAACTGCGCAAGATGTTTCTGAAGCGAAACAACCGATCTTAAATTAAATGGAAGTCCGTAAATTCTAAACGATAAACGTGCAACCTAATGCTAATGTTAAATGTCTCGATTGAAATGATCGGGGTATTAATGTTCAATTGTACGTCAGCCACCATTATTGCTATACTCACGCTCTGTTGTTAGGGGCTTGTTAGAGGGGTATAGGGTGGAAAGAATGTGAAGAAGAAAAATACGTATTAAATAGGAGTATGTATTTATACACATTTATACACCTGTGACAAAATGTTCATTTGTTCGTTTCTAAAGTCGAACTCGTTAAAATAAAAAGAAACGGTCTGCACGATCTGCTCGATCGGTCGTCCGTGCCTATTGGAACCATTAAAAATGCACGAGAGAAAGGAGAAACCGTTTTTCCCTGTCTTTTCGAAACTTTGGTAGAAAAAAATGTTGCATCGTTGTTGTTTCTACGAACAAATTTCGTTTCTCATGATAGGATGTAAGACGAAGTACATATTAAACTACCTTCTCTACTTTTCATACTTTTTCCCTCGTAGACTTTTCGCCGCGAACTTGTTACCGCGAGTATTACATTGAACGTTGTCGTTTGACGTTTTCACCACGGTGCATGCATAGGAAAGAAAGCAACGGTGGTAATTGTTGTTCGTGTACATAGAGAAGTCCAAACGCGTGGAAAGTGAAGATGTCAGAGTCGAAGGTGGAACACACAGCAGGTGTATCTTGATTGGCATTTTTCAAACGATAGTCAGTCCCTTATCCCTTATCTTTAGTCTTTCGTTAATCGATTTCGTTGCTCTTTTGCCCAGACTTCGAATGGGCAGTTCGGATGAATCGCTCTAGTTTGAGAATAATTGGTCTTTGGTTTGAAGAAGATCACGCTGGAACGATGAAATTTTTAAGAAAATTACGCAATATGGGGATCGTGCTGATAATCCTCTTCGTTTGTGTACTTCCTTGCCTCTACTCTTTGATCAAACAATGTGACAGTTTAATGGCGGTGATAGATAATCTTTCATATACTATTCCTTTGACAATAACACTGATGAAGTATATCGTTATATTGAGTAAAAAGGAAGGTAAGATTTCGCGTTAGTCGCGAGGTATGTATAGCAACTTTGTATCATAAGTACATTCATTTATCTATGTACATATCGCTTCTTTCCTTTAAGTTCTCTTGCCACTCGTAAACATGATCGCGGAAGATTGGGCAAAGTTGAAAACGGATTTCGAAAGAGACGTGATGATACAACGAACACGAATTACCCGAGCAACCAGTATACTGAGTTATGCGTTAATATTTACTGCAGTAATGTTCATGATAGTCCTACCAAGAACCGGTATTACCACTAGATACGTAACAAACGAAACCAACATAAAAAAGCTTTTTCCGGTGCCAACTTATTATATTTACGATATATCTGAAACTCCATATTTTGAGATAATGTTTCTCCTTCAAATGGCCACCTTAGTGTTAATGGCACTTTGTTACATTGGTGTCGATAATTTCTTTGGAATATTGATCCTTCATATTTGCGGCCAATTGGAAAATCTTCGTACACGACTTGCAAACATAAAACATTTGGAAACTTTTGATCGTATTTTAGTGACCACGGTAGAAGATCATGTGCGACTTATTAGGTTTAACGTTATCCCTTCCTTCTGTACACCTGCACCGACACATACTGCACTAACATTATGCAAACATTTCGCTAATCTTCGAAACGATCTCGTTGTAGAGCGGTCGATGTGATCGAAAGTATATTTACGATGTTAGTCCTCGCGCTGTTATTCTATTTCGGCACATTTGCTTGCATTTATGGACTATTATTAATGACCGTAAGTAAAATCACCGGTTTATCCAAATTGATAAATAACTCCTGTGAGACGATCGCGAGGCAATTTTCATCGTCGATTCATCTGCATATGTATCTATTTAATAGATACTCACCCAGGAAGAGCAATTTTCCGTATTACGAATAACCTATTTAGCCTGTATTTTTCTGAATACATTTCTTCAAACGTCTCTCTACTGTATCACAGGACAAATTTTAGTAAATCAGGTAAGTTTCAGATTTTCTTTTCTTTCCTCTATACTACTTGTCTTCATTTTCAATTTCTTTGTCGATAAAGTCCGAAGAAGTATACGTTGCTGCGTACGAATGCGAATGGTTGAATTTGAAATCGAACAAGGCGAAAAGTTTGATTTTAATCATGGCAAGGGCCCAGAGGCCGCTCTGTTTAACCGCAGGAAAATTATTTCCTATGACGATGCTAACGTTTTGCAACGTCACTCAGCTATATATCCTTCCTGTTGACGAAGTTATAGTAAAGTACTTGCAATTTATTATAATTCTCCTGTCAGCGTAGTCAATCTTTTTCCTATGTACATATGTACATACATTATGAAAGATATTTAAATGGCGTTCCCTCTACAAAATAAGGTACGATTGTTTGAAGAAAAAGGCAAACGCCGACGGTATACCGTGTAGTCCTGATCTTAAGAACAATTATATGTATATGACAGAGGTAAATTAAATATATCAAACAACGTCACAAATTTCAAACAGTTTATTATTGCTTACAATTACCTACCTTGAACGTGTGTTAACGTGTGACCAATGAAAGCTCCGCAAAAATGGCGCAAAAATTCGGAAGATTCGATCCAATTCGTGAATAGAGTAGAAAGATCGAAGGGAGTGAAATACCGAACAGTATTTTCATATTTGATACAATTTAGAGGTGGATTTAATTGGAAAAAACTTTTCTTGATTCGTTTTAACAATAATGTGAAGAAAAAAAGTAAAAAAGAAAAATCACCGAAAGAGAATATTAATAAACGTAATAACAGATAACACAGATTTTTTTCTTCGAGACGTGTAAAAAAATTTGCAGAAAAGGATTCCAGATAATTGTATCGTATCTATTGTAAATTAATTGACGAATTACGAATGAATAGCAGGTACCGAAAAAGCTGTATCCTGTAAAATATTGTTATCGAGCGTGATCATTCAACTTACAGTTCTATGTAAAACTTGTGAGTAAGTATGGTTAAGCAGCGAATTTATGTATGCACTTGTATACACGTATAATCGCGTAGTAGATGCATGGTATTTATGTAACGTATGCTTGTCATGTGTAATGAAACGCGCAGTATAGTTTCGTGATACAGAAGTAAATCGATCGATTGGACGGATTTTATTTTCTCAGGAAAATAATAGGATATGTGTTTAATAATAAAGCGTGGAAGAAGTTTCATGCGTTAAGTCTAAAAAGAAGAGTAGGAATTAACAGATTTCGATTTGCGTGTTCTGCTTTGTGGGTGAAATGTGTAATCTCCGCTGTAAGTATAAACGTAGAAGGATCGTCGTTTAAAACTAATTCGTACATAAGAGCTAATAAAATGATTAAATTAGCGTAAGGAACCGAATTTGCTGACGACTAGCATGATTTCACGGGTAAAAATCTTCGAATTGATTAAGTTGTTTGTCGTATAATTTAAGGTTACATGACACTGTACAGGCTGCACCCAATCTCGTGCTACACGATTCGTGCATATTACATTATAATCAGCTTATATGTATTGATATGTGGCACATGATGCGACCGAATAAATGAATTAATTTCGCTTTCAGAATAAAGCATAGCAAATGGAAGATTTTAAAGTGAAAGATGAACCAATGGATGCGTTAAACATAGACAGTCAGGTTATGGTAAACGTTTTCTATGAAACAGCAGCACCATACAATACAATGCTTCCACAAGGGCTCTAACTTAAACCTTAATTTAAGGACGAAAACATTGTAAGCGTTGTACTTAAGGAAGAACCCGGCGATAGATTTGATCCAGACTACATGGAGGACATCTGCTCTGGGACATTCGAGAAGGTATTTTTACCTATCGAAAATAATGAAGTTGACTTCTCTAATGAAATGGTAAATTTCGTACAAAATTGTCAGCGATCCAGTTTCGTTTGTAGAAGAGTCAATCGATCCAACGAAACGATTCTAGGTAAAACTCGAACTGGATGGGGAATCCAGTAGTCACCAAAATTGGACGGCGCAAATTGCAAGCACAAATCTGTGCGACAAAGAAGATGGTGCTATGCAAAGGTGCTTAGCGAATGCAAACTTTGCTCAAGCGCACGATGCAGAAAAGCATTCTGGGTTTTGTCCAAATGGGCAGCAACCGAAATTTTATAAAATACAATGTTCCATTTGCAAAAAATGGTTCCTAAACAATGATTCCATGGTTACCCATCTGAGAATGCACTGTAGCGGCAACCAATGCGAGGTTTGTCAACAAAATTTTCAGGATAATTCTAGCCTACATGCTCATATGTTGACTCACGTTGGGATGAGTCCACTGGAATGTAATGTCTGTCAAAAACGATTTGCTTATAAATGGTGTTTGCGTAGTCATATGCAAATGCACGTGTTGGAAAAACCGTACGATAACGATGCATTACAACAAGCGTTCATGAAGAGACCGGATTCTGAACATGACCAATCAATGAGTACGGACGAAAGAGTATTCGAATGCGACGTTTGCCACGCGACCTTTAAAGAGAAATCTAGTCTAAATCGGCACGTGCTTACCCATACAGAGGAAAGACCGTATAAATGCGATGTATGTTTTGCAGCATTTAGGGAAAAAGCAAAGTTGAATATGCATATGACGTTACACGGAGGAAATAAACAGTTCAAATGTACAATGTGTCATAGATCATTCACGCAGAAAACAGCACTGAACAACCATATGTTAGCTCATAGCGGTGAAAAACCGCACGCATGTAATATTTGTGAAAAAACGTACAAACGGAAATCAGAATTAATAAGGCATACCATGGTTCACACCGGCGAAAGACCATACGAATGCAAAGAGTGCCTGATGACTTTTCGGGAGAAGGCGAAATTAAACTCTCATATGCTCGTGCATACGGGTGAAAAACCACACGAGTGTCACATATGTCATAAGGCGTGCGCCCGAAAATCTGATCTTAATAGCCATATGTTATTGCACACTGGCGGTCAATATGACTGCAAAGTTTGCGATAAAATATTTACTCGTAAGTCGGATTTAAATCGGCATACTTTAATACATACCGGCGAAAAGCCATTTGCCTGTGAATTATGCGACATGGCCTTTAGAGAAAAGACTAGATTAAATTCTCATATGCTTATACATACTGGCGATAAACGACACGCATGTCATATTTGTCAGAAGACGTTCAAGGAGAAGTCTTCGTTGCGGAAACACATGTTGAGTCATACTGGTGACAGGCCATATGAATGCTATGTATGTCATAAAGCATTTACTCAAAAAACGACGTTAAATAGTCACATATTGGTACACGCAGGAGAACGACCGTATGAATGTAGTGCGTGTCAGAAAATATTTAAGGACAAAGCAACATTGAAGAAACATTTGTCCGTGCACATAAACGAAAAAACTCACGAATGCCTGATTTGTTTAAAAAAGTTTGCCCATAAAGCTGCATTGAATAGTCATTTATCGTCAAATCATACGTCTTAATCAGAGGGATCTAGTCTATTATATTTCGGCTTTTAGTTTCCTTTTTATCAAGCACCGTTCGTCTATAGCTGCGTAAAGATGATTATGTCTATGTACATCTGTTTTATATGCTCACCACGATACAAACGATCATATTCTTTTCTGTATACCTTTACGTATAATAAATTAATTTCTAATTAATTTACGATGATTTCTTTCTTTTTTTTTTCTTTTTTTACTTTTTTTTTTTTCGATATCTCTGCACAGTGAACGAACTGTGTGTATGTGTATATACTTTTTGCAATTACGGCGGTAGGATATTTATACATATATAGAAAAATTATCGTTGTTACATTTTGTCATCTATATGAAGTCTGTCATATGACTAAAAACATGAACATATTGTTAATTGCAGTAATACGGGTGGAGTACGGTAAATGAGATTTTATTTATTTGTTAATTAATTAATTCCAGATGTTTCACGATTATTCGCTATGAATTCCGAAGTATCGCTTCCCGTCTCGCTAATTGTTAGTGATAAAAATGGCTCTATTCTTGGTGTTAAAGAAAGTCCCTAGTAGGAAAATATGGTTCTTTTTTCAATCTTTCAGGACAAGGCAATCATGTTTAATTTCAAATTGAGCATGTCACATATGTTCGATTCTTTTGAAATTTTTTTCTTCAAACATCTGTTTGATTGCGTAAATGGCTTTTCAGGAAATTATATCTGTTGTATGTGTGTATATGTGTATGTGTGTGCGTGTATTTTGTTAAAACGCATATATATGTACGTGTACTAAATTTGAGTAGAACTGAGTTTCATCTAATTCGAAATTAATCGAAGAAACTACTCTTACAATGGAGTTATCGCAATGTTCTCAAATTTCATCTGATATAAAAACAAAAGGATTTGATATATCAGCCGGTAAAACATGGATTTATCCGATAAATTATCCGGTCAGAGACTATCAATTCAATATAGTTCAGGCTTGTTTATACAACAACACATTGGTTTGTTTACCCACTGGTAAATGAGTTATATATTTAACATTGCAGAAAAGAAGAATTGCAAATACTCACAATAATACTTTGCTTTTGATTTTTATTAGGATTGGGGAAAACATTTATTGCTGCAGTTATAATGTATAATTTTTGGAGATGGTACCCACGTGGAAAGGTTGTGTTTTTAGCACCTACGAAACCATTAGTTGCTCAACAAATTTTTGCATGTCATAATATAATGGGCATACCTAGTGCAGAGACTATTGAACTTACCGGTATATCAATGATCCATACATTTTAGAGTCTTGTTATATATGTTTTTTTGCATGTACTTTATCATTAATGTATTATACTATAGGAGCAGTTAATAAGAAACAACGTGAAATCTCTTGGTCAAGAAAAAGAGTAATATTTGCTACTCCTCAAGTATTTCACAATGATTTAGATAAAAATATTGTACCCAGTGAATTGGTAAAATGTGTAGTTATAGATGAAGCTCACAAAGCTTTAGGGAAACATTCTTACTGTGAGGTATTTATTTACTATAGAATAATGTTACCATTTGTGAATGAGAGGATGGGAAAAAGTTTTAGTGATAAATAATGATATGTATTTTTAGTGTATTCGAATATTAATTGAAAAGAATCAGACTTTCAGAGTATTAGCTCTTTCTGCTACACCAGGAAATAAAATTGACAATGTTCATGAGGTATACTTCATGATTATATATGTTACACATAAAACTTACAGATGCTTTTTACAGTTATGCTGTAATTTGCGGGAATAAATAAATTAACGATGCTTTTCTATAGATATTACAGAATTTATTAATTGCTCATGTGGAATTAAGGGATGAAACTTCCTTGGATATTGTGCCTTACATTAATCAAAGAAAAATCGACATAATTTTAGTACCACTAAACAAAGAGCTAGCTGAATACAAACAGAGGTATATCTTTATTATGGACCATCATGTTAAAATTTTACTGCAACATAATGTTCTTCGTGCAGAAACAGCAAATATTTCAAAAGGAAGGGTAAATTATGCCTTATGTTGGACACCTTATTTTCTTTACAATTATAATAAAAAGTGCTAAGTGGTTCCTCTCATCATTTAGGTATTTCACTTATTAAGGGAATTCAAAAAAAAAACTGATAAATCAGGAAATTATGGACAAATAATAAAAACACTGAACATATTAATGACAATGTATCATGCTTATGAGCTTATGGTCAGAGATGGACTTAGGGCGTTTTATAAATTTTACCAAAGTACGAAATAAGTTCACATTACTTTCTCTTCAATTGTAGAATTACTTGCTGATCAAGCGATTTCTCGAATTGTCCTGACAGATCATTCCGATAAATTTTGGATGAACGGGGAACCACAGTTGCAGACATTACTTGAAGATATCAAAACGTATCTCGGACCGTTTCCGGATGTAAAAAGTTTATGCGAAGATGCAGTAATTGATGTATATATAAGTTTGTATAATATTTAGCATAAAGTTCGATATCTGCTTTTGTATATCAAAGTGAAAGTTGATTTCAGATACCGCAAAATCTTGTATATGGTCATGCGAAGTTCGAGAAATTAAAAGAACTGCTTTTGCATCATTTTGCAAAGAGCGATGAGAAAGAAAGTGATACACGAGCTATAGTTTTCGTAGAGGTTTGTAATTTTCAAAATCCATCGACGCAACGAAATACTACATACGATGTAATTTTCCACTTGTACAGTATCGGGATATTGTGAGTGAAATTTATATTCTATTATTACAATGCCGACCGTCAATAAGACCGCAAATGTTCGTTGGTCAAGCTGGACAGAAACAGAAACAACAGATAAAGGCGTTGGAAAATTTTAGAAATAATCACGTTAACGTTCTTATATCTACAAGTATAGGTACGTAATACTACTACGTACATGTAACGTATCGGTGAAAATAAACTTTAACGGTTATAGGAGAGGAAGGATTGGACGTTGGAGAAGTAGATTTGATAATATGTTTCGATATATTCGATGGGCATATAATTATTCTGGTTACAGATGGAAAAGAACACGAGGTAATTAAAAATTGAACGTTACAAAATATTTCAACATCGATAATGTTTCAATGTTACAGACATTAAAGTCAACAATGGCTAGAAGAGATTCCCTAAATCATAAGATTCTAAATACGAGTAACATTGTTTCCTCGCTTTATCAAACGAATCCTCGCATGATTCCTGACACTTGTACGCCAGAGTGTTTAAAAATGCATATTAGCTTGCTGCCAAAAACTCCAGTTACAAAGAGTAAAAATGGGAAAGGAAAATCGGATAAAAAGGGGAATAGTCGTAAAAATATGTTAAAAGGAGTTACTACCATAGGTAAACCTATAAATATTTCGTGCCGCAATGTTCTTTATATATTAAATATGTATATCGTTTTAGAATCGAATTCAGAGTCGCAAAAAGACGGGACTAAATTTTCAATGGTGAAATACTTAAAAGGCGAACAATACAAAGATCGCGATAAGAATAATTTTGATGCGCTTAGTTCTAATGAAACGCAAAGTAGTAACGTTTGTAACATTATAAAACCATCGGATGTAAAAATTTTATTTTACGACAACGATGCGGTGGATTTCCTTACAACGTGCACTTTGAAAAACTCTGAAAGTGAAGGAAACCCAAGAAGAAAGCGTAGAATCGATAAATCTCGTGTGCCTGAATTTCCCTTGATTAAGAATTTTTTTAATTTCTCAGTACCCGATATTAAAATTCTCGATTGTTTAACAATACTGAACGATATAATTCCACTAGATCGTGAAAAGAAAAGCTTAAATAATGGCAATAAAAGTGACGTTGACGACGAGAATGATTTGTATGGTAATGAATGTGTTCTTGAGAATAGAGTGACAGAATTTGACAATAAGTGTATCGGTGGAGAAATTAAGTTCGAAGATTTGCTCGATGATAGTAGCAAGTCGAACGAAAGTGACCTATTGTGTAGGGAGGGGAAAAAATTGGAGGAACGATATTCAGAGAGCGGATATCGTTCCGAAGCAGTCGGATCAAAAGCAATCGGTACAGAGAATGAAAATAATTCGTTAGAAAATTGGAATTTTACTAAATTTGAAGATATATTGTACGAATCGTCCGATGAATCTGGAGCTAATGTTAACGTTGAAAAATTCGAGCCAATAGAGAAAAAAGATATCGATACCCATAATGATGTACAAGTGAAAAAATTGCGTAATATTAAAGAATGGGACGATAGCATAAGCGAGGCGGAAAGTAAAAGTGCACATTTCGAAGGAACAATCGATAAAAGAAGTGAGAAACTTGATCGATATAAGTGTAATAGTGAATGCAAAGATCAAAGTATTCTTAGTATAACACAGGCAATCGATGAAATAGCACGATTAAATTCAAACTTAACTGTCTCAAAAGTAATGAACGAGTCTGAAGACGATATGTTTCAAGATGAGAACTTGGTACAGATTGATAACGAATTAAACGTTAGTCGGGAAATAGATAATTCGATCGTAGAGAACTTGGGTAGGAATTTATCGGAATTTAAAGTAGAAGAATACGAGTGGGACGATGATTTTAAAATTTCAAACGTCGACCCCATACGAGTGTGCACGCAATTCGATAGAGGTGAAAAAAGAGACGATAAATTAGTCGAAGCAAGCAAGATGGAAACACGTTGTTCGGATAGCGACGAATGGATTTCGGTGAAAAAATCGTTCGATATCTCAAAGGGGGGCAACGTTTCTTCTCATACGAGTATATCGAAAAAATTAGCGAGTATAAGTAGGAGTAGGAATTCAAGGTACGAGAACGCTAAGGAATGTTTCAGGGATGAGTATGATTCTGTGAAGGACGATCCGTCGTTAACCGAAAAAGAGGGAAAATGCAGCTACTTCTGCGATGTTAGACAAGAAGATTGTCACGTAAAATTGCACGGTACGTCGTTTCAAAGAAAAAAGAAGAATGGAGAAAGGAAAACGGAACATTTACAAATCCATAATCCCTATCGAAAGTTTAAAAGAACGAGAAACAGAAAAAACAAATTCATAGACGACGAAGCAGAAGTTTCTTCGTACAACGATACGACGGATGAAAGTTCTGAAACCGACGAGGATCTGAAAGATTTTGTTAGCTATACGCAAAACGTACACGATACGTCCGATATACACGCCCACTACTTACAGAGCACTAGGAGTCCGATGAAAAGGCAGGATGGTTTTATTTTTAAGCAACCACGCGTGCTCGACTCCAGTATAGAAATATATTCACAACCCATCTCTCAAGCACACGAATCTTATATAAACGTAAGTAACATAATCGTACGAACAGGGAGGGAACGTTTTGATTTTTCTTCCATTATTTCCCTGTTGAATTTTCAGGATTCGTTTTGTATAGACGAGGAAGTTCAAGAGACAACTCGAGTCGAAGAGTTGTCGATTCTGGAACAAGCTGAACAAGAGCTGGAAAGGCGAAAGCGTAAACGCACTTGCGACGAAAGATTGGGCCGAAACGTGAAAAGAAGGAATAAACAAAGAAATATAATAAAAGGTTGCAGCAGTAGCGAAGATGAAACTGAAATGTTACGCAAGGAAGTAATGGACGAATCGTTGCTGTTGGCGCGATCGCGAAGTTGATCACGATAAAGGGACCGTGTTTGTATTTTTGTAATATTGTATAAAGCATAGCGCGGAAGAAGCATCGAATTTTTTCTTTATTCACGATAAAATAATAAATCGTTTAATTTCTATAATTTTTAATAATAGATCGTTGGAAGACATTAACGAATGATTTTGTCAGCTGGTCAAGCGAATGTTCGCGAACCGTTTTGACAGGTGTTAAAAGTACCGGTAACTCGAAATCCGAACAATAAACGTGAATACGTTTCGGAGTGTCAGGTATGAGGGAAAACTCGAACCGTTGGGGGGGGGGGGGGTTCTCCCGAACCTACCCTCCCTCTTCGGCAAAATATAGATATAAAGCTAGGGGTAGGAATATTTCGGTCAGTTGTACCAGGAAAAAGGAGACGGTACTGCGTTCGGTATTCACGCAGAGACGACTATATAGTAGAAGGAAAAATGTATCGGTGGTTGACGATCTGTTTAGCGGCGAGTGGTTGGTGCGAAGCTATGGTTGCATCGATCAGAAATGACGAGGAGAATAGCAACGAGCATTCGACGGTGGCTAGAGCGAACCAAGCAACGGCTAGCCAATATTTTTATCCAATTTATTCGAACTACGATAACAACAGATACCCAGTTCAAAGAGGATACGAGGGTTACCTTGTTCCGGCGGACCTATCTTGGCCGCAAACGACAGACTCTTACCCGGTTACCGAAATCGTCACGAGTTTGCTTCCACTTTCCGGTGAAATTCTCTTTTACGGAGTTCGTACCGGAGCTGCTTATCTCTTACACTTTATTTTCGTGATTTTCTTAGGCGGTGCTTTTACCACTATCATTTGCACGTTTACGTCAATCTGTACGATCGACTTCCTAGGAATCGGTGTTGTAAAGAATCAGGTAACGGTACCCTCCTCTCCCTCGGAAGGGAGCGAACGTTTGCAATCGAGTTGACGAAGAATTTCGTTTCGCAGGTAAAAGAGCAGGTAGCGGAATTAGCACGAGGCTATGTATCTACCGAGGCCGTGAACGCAGCTACCCTTTTTGTCTCGAAGGCTCTCGAGAAATATGCAGCGATGCAGGAAAACGCGAAACGGAAAGAAGCGTAGAGGGCACCGGACGAGACCCTTCCATCGATATATGTACTCTTGATCTTGATGTATTTCTTTTCGAACGAATTGTTGAAATTGGAAAAAGAAAATGTTGCGAATGTTTGTTAACGAGGAAATAAAAATTGCAACGAAACGTATTCGTAAATCGTTTGTCTGATTTGGCGTGATTCCCAGAAAAGGATCGGTAGTTCGTATGAGTCACCGAGCAAAGTTTACAGCGGTCGCCGCGCCGGCCGGGTTCACGTGGTTGTTTTTCGTCACGGTACCGGCTGGATGCACGGACCGGTTCCGAGTCTCGCGAGCGTATCTATTTACCTTCAGTGCTGTTGGATGAGATCAGCGAACGGTGCGACGAAGTCAGTTAAATCGCGTGTGGAACCTGAATACGAGTAGCTCGCCGCCTCGTCGCATCGCTGCTCTCTCCTCCTTTTCTTCGGAGCCATGAAGCACCACACCGCTGGAATACTTGGTGAGAAATTCGTTTTTCTTGTTCAGCGTGAAAATTCGGATCGTCGAACGATTGTCCTGAGCGACAACAGCTACATGCACGTCACCTTGACATTTTCGAATCGTTGGTTGAAGGACGTCTCGGTATTCATCTTTACCAGAGTATTAACCATGTTAACCGTGTTTCAGGCTACCTATTCATCGCGATTGTCTACATCGGGATTCTGACCACGAAACAATGTAAATCCGAGGCAACTCGACTCCTGTCCCGCGATAACGACGAAGATGATTTTGTACCTTATCAAGGAGAACGTTTCAGCGTTTTCGACTGGTCCCTGTTCAAGGTAACGAGCATGAAATTTTCATTACACTCGTGTCTATAAGTGTGCATTTTTTTCATTCTGACGGTATTCGGGGATTCGCGTAGGCTACGAGCAAGCAATACTCGGGAAATGTGCTGCTATCCCCGATATCCTTGAAAATCGCGCTGGTACTTTTATACGAGGGAGCCCAGGATAAAACTGGTTACGAACTGGCTAGAACATTGCAGCTACCTGCAACCCCAGCCGCTACTCGAGACAGATTTTCCACTATTTTACGATCGTTCAAGGTAATCATCTTTCGTAGCCGCGGGAGATCGCGTAGAATATTTTTTCCCCAAAAGAATCCATGTACAGCGTAGCCTATGTATGCGTAACACAGACTAGGTCGGCATCGTACAATGTGAACATTGGGACGCGAATTTACATTGACTCGAATATCACGATCAGACAACGATACGAGGCCATTGTGAAAACTTTTTACAACACCGATGTGATCTCTGCAAATTTATCCGACGCGAAGCCACTCGTGAAAGAGATCAACAGTTGGGTCAGCAACATTACCGATGCTAATATCGATCGAATGATAGAGGATGGTAAGGATCGAACGTGAAAATTCTCTCTCTTCTTTTTCTCAACGAACGAATTTCTCTGTTTTGCAGAAAACAGCGTGAAAGATTCTTTGATGGTGATCCTGAACGCGTTTTTCTTCAAAGGATCGTGGCTCCGCAAGTACTTTGCTCCGAAAGATACACGGATTGAGAAATTTCATACGAGCGACAACCGAACTGTGGACGTACCTTTTATGCACACAGTCGGTCGATTCTACTACTCTGAATCTTCCGAGTTGAATGCGAAAATTTTACGGATCCCGTACCATGTACGCTCTCTTTCTCTACCTTTCCGCTCCGTTCGTTTCTCTTATTTCAGCCTATTTTAGGGGAACAAATTCGCCATGTACTTGCTGTTGCCAGACACGTTGGATGGAATCGAGAGACTCGTTAACGAAGTTAGTCCCTATCTGCTAACGAAATATGTCTGGTTGATGCAAGATTTGTCTATCGACGTTTCTATCCCAAAGTTTAAATTCGAGTTCACCAGCCACTTGGAATCCATTCTGCGCGAGGTATTACTTTCTTCTCCTTTTCTCTACGTTTATACGTTACATACATATTATTTTCCGCCATTCCACTGTTCTCAGCTTGGTATTCGTGACATTTTCGACGACACTGCAACATTAACCGGCATCGCTCTCTCCAAACGAATTTCCAAACATCTTAAAGTTTCGGACGTTGTGCAAAAGGCTGGAATCGAAGTGAACGAGAATGGAACTACGGCTTATGTAGCCACCGGTAAAGTTTCTCTCTTTGCTCGCGATTAAATTGCAACCCAAGTCTATCTTCTTCTCTGTTTTTCAGAAATTGAAATCGGGAATAAAATTGAGGACGAAACGTTCCACGCGACTCGTCCGTTCGTATTTTACATCGAGGACGAATCCACAGGAACGGTCATCTACGTGGGCAAGATGATGAATCCTCTGGATACAACCGCCAGTACAGTCAGTCCGAAGGAACCGTTTGCGTCCAAATTTAATCCAGGAACACCAAACGCAGGTTCATCTATTCTGTTCGATCTTCGTAACGATAGAACCTCGGGATAACTGCTTATGGACTAAATTTCATTCTAACACAGCCTAAAGTCTCCCTTTCTCTCTCCGCACTTATTCTACGCATATTCTGTACATCTAGGAATAGAAGCTTCCTCTGTTACGCGTTTTTCAATCTTACGCTCGTTTCTCCTTCTATCGGCAACATGGTTATGCGGTTTTGTCGGTGTTTTTACATTTGTTAAAGTCTACGGTAGAGAAATAAGTTTAAGCATTTTTAGACCCGATGTTGCAAGCGGGCTTGAACGTGGACGATCGAAACAATCTCTTCAACGTATTCTTTTCACAAGTAAGACAAACATCGAACGTATACACAGAGTGGAGAGTACAAGCTAATTCATTTCGCATCGTAGGTTCTGGGCAAAGAATACCCGGATGGAAATTTAGTATCGTCACCTGCGAGCGTTAAAGCAGCTTTGACGATGCTAATGGAAGGAGCAAACGGTAATACGAAATCGGAACTTGTTTCAGCGTTAAGATTACCGGAAAACGAGTCACGCAGAAGGGAAATTATGAAAAATATTCTCGCATCGTTAAAGGTAGCCCGCGACCAATCAATATCCAAGCCTTTTTCTTATCTAAATAAATCGATAAACTTTCGTGTTTGTGAACTTTCAGAAAAAAGATAACGGTACGGAAATTGATTTGTCCGTTCGATTATGGATAGATAAAAATCTACCCGTGCTGAATAGTTATAAGGATATCGTACAAACACATTATCAAGCAGACATAGAAAATGTAAACTTCATGGAATCGCAAAATACAGCGCGTCTTATAAACGAATGGGTCTCTCGGGCAGCACACAATGCGATCTCTTCGCCTTCGTTGATAAACGACGTTAAATCCGACACGCGTCTCATTTCGACCTCGGTCATTTATTTCAAAGGGCGCTGGTTAAAATCATTTGACAAAAGGAGAACGAAATTACGGTGCTTCCATACTCCTACAGGGAAATGCACAAACACCTATTTGATGACGCATCAATCTACGTATCGATATGCTTACATATCCTCTATTGAAGCACACGCTTTAGAAATTCCGTACTCGGTAAGAAGTAAACGGTCTTAAGTTACCTGAATAAATGAAACTACTTAATCACGTTGATAACTCTTTCAGGATGGTAAAACATCGATGTTGGCACTGATGCCGGACACCAGAGAAAAAGATCCGTACCTTAGAATATTATCAGAGGATTTAACTACCCTTCCAATTTCGACGATCTTGGCAAACTTGAAAATGAGAGATATTATGATCCATGTTCCCAAGTTTAGCATTGAAAACAATCTTAATTTAATACCTGCGTTACACCGCGTAAGTTCTACCACTTGGCAATTTCCTTTTACATTGCAAATTAAATGTTTCTACTACTAGAAGGTACTAAACTAACGTTAAAATCAATCTTATTGTTGCAGTTGGGTATCCAAAATATATTTCAAGATAATACGAATTTCACTAAAATGGTATCCGGTGGTTCGATTCGCGTAACCAGTATTTTACAAAACGTTAAAATAGAAGTAGACGAAGAAGGGACGCTAGCTGCGGCCGTTACAGGTATTTTAAACAAAATACGTTTCTTTCTATCCGAACAATCTGCACACGTATATATTGTACTTTACGTTGTTTATGAAAATACTGTTGCAGAAATTGGATACCAACTCCTTTCGTTGTGGAGTAACGAAGTTAAATTGGACCGACCGTTCCTCTTTATGATCCTCGATTGCGAAAGAAATACGACTTTATTTTCCGGTCGCTTTCTCCAACCGATTGAACAGTGACAACTTCGATAATGCTATACAATTTATGCTATACAATTAAACAGTTGCTTCCTTTTTTTTTTTTTTTTTTTTTTTTTTTTTTTACTTTTCAATGAAAACTTTCCTAGTTTTCTTATAAGCAATACATACTACAGAAAAACTAAGTAAACCAATAGTATAGAAGATGATAATAAACAAATAAAATATCCAAACAGTATTTAAATGTTATATTCATAGATAGCATAATTCATGTCATGTTTAACAGACTGTTCTCTTTATTTGTACCTATTTAATATACACATACACATCTAACCCAGCACATTTGACATTCTTCCTTTATTGTTCATATTTGTGTTTAATATCTTTCCACAGTTTCTGAAACAACAAAGTTATGGATCTTGTTATTTTTAAAAGGTTCGTCATCTTTTTTCGAAAAAGTTAGTTCCTATGTTATGCAATACTGTTTACCATGCCGTTAAAACTTTACATAATTTACAAAGAGTAACCTAACCTAACCTAACCTAACCTAACCAATACTTATATACTGCTTGCATTTTTTCGACAAAATTTACAACTTTACGGAAATATGTTATTGGATTCTTTGGTAAAAATATTAAATGAAATAATACGTTTGAATTATATGTATACGGAATTTAGTATGGAATGAAAGACAATTAGATTGAACCCTATTTTTTCAATAAACTATATTGTCAAACGAATGAAATAATTCCTTCGTTAATATTCATACATACCCCTTTATTCACGTTTTCAAATATTTGGTCTGAAATTAAATCGAACGACCGCTCGAAGAAAAAGCTGCCTACCAAAATGGCCACGGCAAATGTCGAAGATCTTTTGAAAATCCAATTATACAGAGCATTAGCCATTGTTCCGACTGAAATCTGACTGTCTTCCTAGTAAAAATAGTTAATCTCAAAACATAAATCCCTGACGTTATTCGTCGATCGAAATGAACGTTACTTACTGCTGCGAACTGCGACACAACGATCAAATATGAGAATGAACCTTACATCATATTACTTTGTAAAGAAGAAAGCGTTACTACTTGGCGCATAGTGAAAATACTTCTGCTTGACAACGACATCTATGATTATACGAAAATAGCTCCTGTACCACATATTTGTAAGTTTACGATACATTATAAATGAAATATTATGCATAGTTGAACATATATGAACATAGTTTTCAAGAAGCAAAGATACAAGTCGAAAAGAGATGATTTTTAAATATTTTTCGAGAAACAACGATCGGTAATGGAATATAACGAAATACCTACTTTTGGTAATGTAGTTCGCATTGCAAGTACATTAAAGAATCGCATGAAGCAGCACGAGGGAAAACAAGAGAAACGATGAGCCACGTCAACGTCCGCTCAATTTCGACTAATAAGCAACCTCTCTCACGAGACCGTGACGGTGATCAATGTGTGTCATTCTTGACAGATTGTCGTCGTTCTGTCAGAAGTTCCGGCAATTTTTTATAAATTTTTCGTATTATGAAACATTTGGAGAAATTGTTGGTATGATTTCGTTATGTCAAATAACATGGAGCCCGAAGAGGACGAAATACCTTTGGATTCCAGTGTCCCAGAAACATTCGAGGAAATGTCAGTTCCTATTGAAAAACATAACCTGAAAGTTAGACGAAGAAATGTTAGCGAAACGGTGAATTTCGTGTCGGAAGAAGATAAAATCTCGGACTCTGAAAGTGCCATACCTATCGTAAGAATGTCTGATTCTACGAAGGCATGGTATGATAACGATATACCACGAATACCTGACATCGCGGACTTTAGTTCGTCAGGTAAACAAAACGGTGTGTTAAATCGAAATGAAGACGGTAGTAGTTTACTAGAACATAATTTTGGTGATGCAGAAACATTGACGAATAAAGAACGGATGAAAATAAGCGTTATTCGAGGAAGCGTTGTTAATCCGAATCTGACATTAGGAGAACTTAAATTACTGGGTTGCAGCAGTGAGGGTCTTGTTCATGGTACTTTATCAATATGATAATATGTTATTATCAACAAGGAACCTCTACATGGACAATATAATGTAATTTGTCTACAATTTCACCAACAATTACATTGTACAAGCTTACTTGAGATAATGAAACAATAGGTTCCTTATTGAAAATAATTTTATACCTTGTAATTAAATCCTGAAATCATAAAGATGATCTGTAGATGATATACGGAGTGTTCTGTGGCCAAAACTATTGAGACTCTCGGAGGAAAGTAGTTTTTCTGTAAATGGATTAGAAACTATACACAATCGCATACCAAATGAGGTCTATCAACAAATATTAAAGGATGTTGCACGCAGTGGTAGTCATATTTCTCAAAATGCTACACAACGTGAGATAGATCACTTTCACGAAGAGTTGACACAATTAATGTGTTGGGTTCTTCACAAACATTCTACGTTAAAGTTAGTATTACATATGCATTTTATGTACAAAAAAACATCCTTATCCTGTTATTGTCATGAAAATATTTCGTTTAGACACGTATATGTAGATAGTACAAAATAAAATAATACGTACTTAGTTATTACCAGGGTTATAATGATATAGCAGCAACTGTTCTTCTTGTCATGGGCTTAGAAAGAGGTTTACGTGTGCTTGAAGGTATTTCTTTAGAATTCCTTGAAAGATTTATGGAGAAAACAATGGAAAAAGTGAACCAAGAATTATTTTAAATATTTTCACTTTTGGAAATATTTATATACAAATTACCTACTGAATCTGTTTTCTGCTATAGCGTTGAATTATTTCCGCATTTTGCATTGGCTGAGTACACAACATGGTATGCGCACAAATATGCGGAAAATAGAAAACTTTTACACAGATTATTCGATTATTTCCTTGGTAGTCCTCCACTGATGCCTCTTTATTTAAGTACTGTGATCGTAGCACATAGAGCAACAGAAATTTTTAATACTGCACCAGATATGGGTCCTACACATAAAGTTTTATGTACTGTGAGTAAAATTACAGTCTGATGGTGTAAATAAAATAGAACTATAACCCAATCCCGTTCATTTTACGTACAAAATTATTTTTCTTTATAGTTGCCGCATGATTTGCCTTTTGAAACGCTTCTGATCGAAGCGAAAAATTTATATCGTAAATATCCTCCCGAATCTATAAGTAACGATGTTAGAGAATACGATCGAAAACGAAAATTTAAAGAACAGGAATGGAAAGCAAAGGCGGAAGCGAGTCGTCAAGAAAGGGAAAAACAACGTCAGCTTAGAATTGTACAATCAACACCGAGAATACCCTATCGTATTAGAAGTTACAAAACGATCACAATGGTAACAATTTTGGCGCTGGGATTGTATGCCTTTCTAAGATCTTCATCTGGTCTTAACTGACATTAAACGAACTTAATCTATTTGTATAATAGATTCATTTCTGTGTCCTTGACGCAAAATTTCATTTTACTCCTATACCATTAGCTTGGTAAATTGTTGGGCACATGAACGTGCGTGTAAATGATCCAATATTGTAAAATATATGGGATATCAACGATCGTTGGTAATCTTACTAAACGGCGATTAACAACGGAATTTGTTTCTGAATGTGTTACAAGGAGTATCTTGAGCATTCCTGTGCTGCCTTTATGCTGTGTTCTTTAAAATCAACATGAAATTTTCACGAATACATATTTACAATGTCAGAAGTGTAAGCAAAAATTTAGGGGTGAAGAGGGAAAAGATGAAGAGTATATGCGTTTGTGAAAAAAATATTTCTGCAACATGTATATTTTGAAACATTAAAAAATTTTTAAACGTAAAAGATACATTTGTTGCTTAGATCGCCATTGCGTCTTTATAATCTGTGATGTACGTATGCGTGTATTTAATCAAATTTGCAAACAAAAATCAATTTACTATAACAGCAAAATAACGATTATTAATAAAAGAAACCGTAATTTTTCAATTTTATTTATTCCTGCTCTTATACCTTTAATTATATTTCTTTGTCGCATAACCTTTATCGAAATTTTATTACGATAAACCTATCCTAATATACACTGAAATTATATGATAAATAGAAACTACATAGAATAAATTTTGTACCTGAGATATTAAAATGGGAAAAATATGCTAGTAGATTTTTAATACATTACACACACACACAAAACTACGAAGAGTGAAAATATTTTCTTTTTGTTAACCATTCGTGCGCATTAACTATAATAAGTAAAACATACATGTACAAAAAATAAAAGAAGGAATACGAAACGTCTGAATATACATATATGTATACAAAATTAGTATAAATATTTGTTTGTGTCTGTCTAGTTGTAGTCAATTAAAAATAGCACTTTGTAGTATTACTTGATTACTAATGTCAAAATTTACTTAATATAAAACATAATAACAATGGTATTTAAATACATAATATCCGTAGACTAGTGTTTCTAATTATAATGTCCTTAGCTGTACATGCTCGTCGTGATAATCTTATTGCACCTTTAAAACGGTTCTAATGTAACTTAAGATATTAGTATTTCTCAGGATATCCATATGATTTACACCAGGGAAGGCTTGAGAATAAACTTTCCGTTTTTGCTTACCCTGCCAATTTTTACAACCCTCTAAACTTCTTAAATTTACAGTACCATCACCATCACCAGGAATTAATTGGGGAGTTCCTTGTATTGATATACCAGGTTTATAATATAACCTAGAAACAATTTTTATGTAAACATTTAAAAAGCTATGTAACTTATTATTAAACGAAGATGTTAGAACATTGTTAATATACCTTTGCACTGTATCTATACCATTCCCATATAAACAGTGTACCTCAACTCCTGGAGCAGTAAAATCTAATTGATATTTTTCATTGTCCTTTCTAAATTCCCAAGCATTTGGAACACCTATATCTCTGCAAAATTCAGTAAATTACATTACTTGTGTCATGAGTAAATTAATAAAATATTATTATCAATGATCAGACTACAGATGGACTGTTGTACATGTTATATCATACATTAGATAGTCTTGCATTGTAGACAATGTGTAGTTTTTTTCTTGTGATTGTATCAATACTTCATTTTCTTTCCAAAATAATCTTGATGGTAATAACCACCCTAAACTAGGACTACTTATCTGTTGATCTTTGAGAATATTTTGACGTAAAACGTATGAACCTAAGTCATCTCCTATAATTGCAAAATAATTATTAATATACATTTTTACTTGTATAATGCATGTATTGTCTATACCTCATACCAATTGCAAATACTTTAAGAGCTTTAACTGAGCCACCCCAAACGGCTGAGAGAGTAATTAAACAATTGATATATTTGTCTTTCCACTTTTGTGACTGACGTTGCAAAAATATAAGCGACATTGGTCCACCCATACTGTGAGCTAATAATGTCACAGGAACTTGCTTATTCGTGTCATAAGTTTCTTCAACTAACTCCTTTAATTTTTTGAAAAATTCTTCATTCTCATCTGAAAACAAGGTATTCTACAGCACAATGAGATTAACAGAAAATTTCCTGTGATTATAGATATAATACAAATTCTAATAATAAATACATACTAGGTCCTTTCCTAAAATCATAAGGTGCACCACGTATAGAGTAATTTCTAACATATCCAAGTTCATTAACTAGCATGTTACCAATATCCTTAAAGTAGGCTCCAGGAGAAGCTTTACTTGGATCTAGATATTCAACGACAAATGGATCACCCCAACTTGGTATACGTATATTAACACCATTTTGATTTCTTGTTGTTCTTGTAACATTATCATATATTAACTTCATATTATCAATCTAAAACAACATTTTTACTACATAATCTACTTATTGTATATTATAAAAAACATAAAGCAATATAATAGTTACCCAGCAATCTATGATAACTGGTACAAGTAATTCCAAATTTAACCAGATATTAAAATATTCTGTAGAAACCTTTTCACAAAAATAATGTACAACCGCTGTTTTATTGAGTTTTGCTTCAACTTGACTACCCCCATCCCCTGGAACTTTCAGTGTAATAATTGTGTAAATTTTCATATTCAAAGTAACACATCACGAAATTACTCAATACAATGAAAAATAATTACCAAATATAACAGGAGACAGTTGATTATTTCTAAAACGCCACGATTTCACAGATAAAGTGCAAAACAAAGTAACTATTGTACTGATGATAAAACACAAACGCATTTTATACTAAATGACTTTGTTGTTTAAATCAATTTCATTGAAATTGTATACCTGAAATTATATTTTATAATTAACCTCAGAATTTAGAATAGTCGTTGAAATAATAAAGAGCACGTGTAGAAAATAAATCGAACAGATTGCGTAAAATATTTGTTCTTGCGATCTTAGCAGTGCGCAAGCAGCTGATGACACACACACACACACACATTTAAAAGTGAACAGTTGGGAAACTGTTCGCAAGTTACAAGACATAATGCTATTAATACTTTTATAAAATTAATATCGCAAAACAAGCTTATCAAATGTTCGATAAATAATTACTCACTTTATGATAACGGCAAAGTAAAATAACGAAATAAATAATACACAATGAATATATGTGCATACTTTCTTGTTGTACATACGCTATAGAAATATATGTAGTCATACAAGTAGAATACAATTTTTTATTCGTCTGTTATAAAAAAGATTCTATAACAACAATCATCATCATTATTATTTTGTATTTTCCTTTATCGTTTACTACTATTATCGATAATTTTGTTATTTAGTACAATTTTTTTCTTATCTTTTCGATGTTTCATTATCATCTTCAACATTATCGTTATTGTTTCTTGAATTTTAACTTAGAATCAGATTTTTATATTGTTACTGTTCTCCTTACTTAATTTTCTACCAGTGTCTTGCTTCTTCTTGTTCTTACTTTCCTTAGCCTTTTTTTCTATTTAACTTTTTCCTTTTCCCTCTTCGATTTGTAATATACAATATATACATATGTAAGTAAGTACATACTATGTGTACAATATATATGTATATGGGTTTATATCCATAAATAAATAAAGAAATAAATAAGAGTAAGCTATAATAAAATTGTAATCATAATACACGAATTGTCGGTTTATTTCGCAACATTGTCATTAAACATGCGTTTCAGGAAAAATTACGTACACACGTGTAACGAATTTTTCTACGATACCATCGTTAATGTGGCGATAAATTTTGATCATTGTTTTCTATTTAAAAGTAATAACTGAATAATTTCATAGTTAATTCTCATAAAGAAATAATGAATCAGATTGTACTGTACGTAAAAAACTGATTAATAATTGTGTTTAAAAAGGCATAAATAAATGAAATAATACAAAATCGAAATTAGTAGCAATATATTAATTTATGAACATATGTACACAAATGTTTACGAACCAACACATGTTTTGCATAAAAGTAAACAACGTGCCTAACCTACAATTTTCAAATGATTAGAATGACCATATATTTTACCTGACTAACATCCGGAGAAATCTGAAAAAAAATTGTGTCAATGTAAACAGAATTTTTATTTTTATACATCGTAATATAAAAATGCCAACAGTTATAGCATTAGATGTGTCTCTATCAATGAGACGCCCAGTATTAGTAAGCGGATCGAACGAAAATAATCAAAGCGAACAATTGACAAGACATCAGTTAGCTGTACATGGAATAAATGCATTATTACATTATTTACAAGTGAATTCAAAATTGGAATTTGTAGCTTTAGTAAGCGTTTTTGAAACAGCAGTGAACATTATGTTATTACATTAGTTTCAATTAAACAGCCTATTTTTTTTATTTTTTTATTTTAGGTTGTCTTTTCATCATTGTATGAAGTTATTTGTCCATTTACTCGTGATTATGATAGTATACGTTCAAAATTACAAAATATTGAGGAATGTGACAAGACTTGTATTGAAACAGCTCTTCATGGTGTTAATAATGTTATCATGGCAGAATGGGGTAATACTACAGCTTGTCAAGTAGTCCTAGTAACTGATGGGAATCCTGGTGTAGGACCAATGTCTTTAGGTGACTCTTTGAATTCCTTAAATCTAACAAGAGATGTAAATCCATTTCCATTACCTTTTCCTTATCCAGGAAAATTAAGTGTTGTATGTATTGCATCACAACAAGGTATGTTAAAAGTGAGCATATTCATCATTGAGCATATAATATTTTGTTATTTCTTAATACATTTATGAATTTTAATGTTTTCAATCAGATATCGGTTTACATATTGGTTTACCACTTTACCAACGATTAGTTGAGCTTGCTGGTGGTGATAGCGTAGTACTAGTCCCTGAAGCACCACTCTCAAAACATTCAGTCACAGCCTGTTTTCAAAAATTAGCAGAAACTAATTATGTCTCCTTTCAAGGATATTTGAAATGTGGAAATTTAGGTTCTCGTATTCTTCTATCACCTGCACCCATGGTAAATAACAAGGTGCAAAAGAAATAATAAGTTAATTCAGATTTAAAATAAAATAACATTATTTTAGCCATACACTAAGAAGACAGATTTTGAATTAGTATCTGGTTTGATAATATCAAAAACTGTAGAAATTTGTGGATTTATATCAGTAGCAGATGTCGGTAGTCCTAGCGCTATATCTAGGCATTTAGTGCTGCCATTAGCTACAGAAAAGACTCCAAGTATGCAAGGAATAGCTTTGGAAGAAGATTCAGATACAGATGAGAATGGAGATGAAGGGAAAATACCATCGTTTTGTGTGTTATTACATGGTGCTTTAAAGGTAATACATCAATGAATTTATAATCTTTCCATTTTCCTAAAAAGGTAAATGTTTGTTACAGGTTGAGAACATGGTAGCTCTCTGTTTGTTAAATAACGAATGGTATGGTTTTATATACTCATGGGCAGATACAAAGAAAAAATCAAATTTGATGTTAACAGTGCTAGAACCGGGGCTAGATGTTGTGCCTTGGTTAGGTAACTTTAGTAATTTGGGTCCAATTGATGCAGCTAAAGGTGCTGCTGTTAATTTTCCAGTTAGACCAAATGAAAAAAGAAGTTACACTCAAAATGCACCATCTTGGATTCGCCAAGTTGGATTACAATCTGATATTCAGAAAATTTTGAGACATGCAAGAAAATTGCCCGAAAAGACGCAGAACTTTTATAAGGTAAGACAGTAATGCGCAGAATGTTGAATCTTCTTATAACATTTGTATTCTTGTGCAGGAGGTGAATCGGTTGCGTAGAGCTGCTGCATCAATGGGATTTGTAGAACTTTTGGAAGGATTGGCATGCATTTTGGAACGGGAATGCACATTGTTACCTCCAAATTTAAACCCTGACTGTACAATTCAAATGGGTCATGTAGCTTCTATGATAAGAAAACCCGAATTTCTAGAACTTAGGTATAATATACCACCAGCACGTACTAGATTTCAACATGGAGGATCATAGATGAGGCAACAGCATGTTTGTGATATACATATAAGTGTATTTACATAATGTGGCAATAATTTCTATACGTTAAAAATAGGTTTGATATTTTAAATAATCACGAATTTGTATTAACAATAGACTTTACACACTATGTAAAAATATCATTTAAACGATAAATTTAAAATTTTGAAAAATTTAGTGCTCGTTCTCTTTCATATCCTTAATTATACAACGTAAAATATCATATAACCCCCTGGCAGATTGTAAACTTGAATACTGATCGAAATCAGGAACATGAACAAACAATGTTTTCTCAGGTGCAACCTGTAGAGATTTATAATATATATATTCGCACAAATATCTACCTGCATTGTTTGAAATGCAAGCATTACACTTTGTTTTGCTTGAATGATCATTAATTATATTACAAACTTTTCTAACATTAATTTTAGTTTCTAAAATCTTTGGTTCAATGTTATTCTCATCTGGACATTTATCACATACATCCAGTTTTAGGTAACCATTGTTATGAGCGCAAGATTCTATAGTTAAACATTGCGCCTTGTGAGATACACCCACATGTAGAACTACCTGAAGAAAAAAGAATGTCATTGGTCATATTTAAAAGATCAGAATGTGTAATTTCATTACGAATTAAAATTTACTGTAGGTTTGTACTCTTCCCAAAGTTTAGGTATATGCATAGTTACATCTTCATACGAGACTGGAATCTCCTTCACGATCACTTTAATACCGTTCATCTCTTTGGAATTTGCGCATAGTTCATTCAATTCTTTTACCGCCTCCCAACTAGCATTAATAATATGATTGTTAAATGGGCCAAACCCAGTTACTAAAGCTGTAATATACTTTTCGTTGTTTTCCATTATTACATTTGATTATTTTACTAAACGAAATAGGAACGTTTCTCCGCATCGATAAAAATGTTTCGTTCACATATAGATCCGTGTACTAACATCACGACGTACTTACATATTGGATTACATACTTGATATTTGCTTAAGATTTTTCAGTATAGAAAGGAAAATATTCATTTATTTGCTTAACGGGAATATATAGTTGGTGTGTGTACATTCACTTACTTTTTTAATTTCGTTTTATTCTGATTTTATACAGTTTTAAAAATACATACAAATAACAATAGTTCTAAAAAATATTTGATATTTGTACAGTTACGTGTATGCATCTAAAATGTAATTTCTTATTTCAATGAGTGAAACGCTATCTATGTAGTTTGCATCTTACCAATGATGCACGAGAGAGGATCAGTTAGGGAAAATGGCTGACGATGCATTAGGTCATGTTTTGATAATTTTACTTCTTTGATTACGATAGTTGAGAAAGAAGTGTGTTTGTTATGTTTAAAAATATGATTTCGATCATGTTGTGAAATACGTATTCTGGTGAAGATTGAGGATATCTGTCGGTGCACGTGTCTAGATTGATAAATAAAATCTTGTCAAAACTTGTCTAGACGTGTTTGAAGTAGCTGCCATTAGGAAATACTCATTATGAACGTTTGAACAAATTTTTTAATAGCCTTTGTGAAAAGTACAGGATTTTTATATTGCTGGTAAATATGTATATACCATTTAAATTTACATTCAAAACAAACGAGGTTTGTCTTTGTAGACGATGAACTTCCGTTTCTCGTTGAACATTGTCCATTAGAATCTAGGCAATTAACTTACGATGTCGTTTGATTAAAAAGGAGAAAGAAACAAAAGAAAATTGTTTACGGAAAATTAACAGTTATTTAGCAAAAGTTTTCTATCCGATTGATTTTTAAAGTAGTATGCTTTGTTATAGATAATCAGAACTTCCTACTGATTGGCAAATTTATGTGATATAATAAGATGATAATAAGTTGTACAATGCGAAAGTATTTATAATATTTGCATAGAAGGAAAATAAAAATGAAATACTTTTGAGGCAAGAAGATGCCTGTCAATCCATTTAATAATGGGACAGCATTTCGCTAGTCTCAGAGAATTTTTTAGAATGGATAGTGAAAGGCAGTCGTTGGAGGCATGTACTAATGTTATTCAACCAGCACAATTAGAAGTGATGTTACAATTAGAAAATTTACACGATAATGAAAATAATGGAAATGTACCTGCATTGAATTTAAATTTAATTCTTCACGAAGAATGCAAAGCAGATGGGAATTTGGACAACGATCATTTAAGTTTAGACCTAGATAATCATAATTCTAGATTTGAAACTTTGTACAGTCAACCAGTTGAGACTCAAGAGTCAAAAGAAATTTGTAGTAATGGAAACATTACTAATGAGTTATGTTTCAAACAACAGAAAGCATGTTGTAGTAGTTCAGGGGATAGTAATACTAGCAGTAAGTCGGAAGATAGTCCTATAAATCCTCCTTTAAGAAGATCTTCTAAAACTTTATCATTTGTAAAGCGAAAAGGTAATAAATATATATTTTACGTCCACTTTGTGCTTGTAAGGTTTCTGCGCTATAACAACACTGTATGAATTTTAATGTTTTTAGGTAAACAACGTAGCAAAGATCAAAGTCAAATGTGTACACATGTTTTATCTTCAAAAAAGAAACGAAGCAGTTGGGTATTAAAATTTAACTGTGCTAAGAACAAAAGTTCCAAAAGTTCAGATATTATTCCTGGTCAAGGAAATAATAGTTCAGATTGTGTGTGTATTGGTCATAGAAGAACCGAAGAACACCCGATGGGAGCTGGTGTTATATTTAATAGCCGATCTGCTCCACAAAGTCCAGTGCTTGGACCACTTCCACCCAGTCCTGTGATTGATCTTTCAAGATTCAATCCAGAGGAATTTCCGATGGAAGTATGTGTTATTGTTGCATTTTTTATATATTTGTGTAAAATCCGAACGAGTCTTGAAAATATTTATTACAGGATTGCGATGAACGAGCTCGTTTGCAACGTGCACGAGAAATGGAAGAGGGGGTTGAACCTCCTCCCGGTTACAAGCCTAATTATCCTTCAGGTATTCAAGTACATCCAAATGGGATAACGGTGGACAGTCTAGCAGCCTTGTTCCAAGCGCACAGCGTTCTCACAGCGTTATCACAAATCGATTTTACATTAATTCCGAGTATTGGAAGGCCAGCACATACGCAGGTACCTTTATTTGAGGAATTTCTATGTGAAAATGGTAAACAATTGGCTATATATCTGAGACTGTAAACTAACATTTTTTGTTTATAGGTTGATTATGTTCATTGCCTTGTGCCAGATCTTAAATCGATTACAGCCTGTTCTTTTTATTGGGGAAAAATCGATAGATATGAAGCTGAACGTTTATTAGAGGGCAAACAAGAGGGTACGTTTCTGTTGCGTGATTCAGCCCAAGAGGAGTTCATTTTTTCTGTTAGTTTCCGAAAATATGGACGATCTTTGCATGCTCGAATCGAACAATGGAATCATAAGTTTAGTTTCGATGCGCACGATCCGGGAGTATATGCCTCAGAAACGGTATGGAATAGAATTATTTTTCATTAAAGATGGAAGATAAAAAGTATGTTGTATTGAAGTTTAAGATTTGGTACGTGCTTTTTTCAGGTATGCGGTTTAATCGAGCATTACAAAGATCCATCTTGTTCTATGTTCTTTGAGCCTATGCTTACAATACCATTGCATCGAAATTTTGCTTTCCCTTTACAACATATATGTCGAGGGGTAATCACTACACGAACGACGTACGACGGTATAAATAAGTTGCAATTGCCAAAGACACTTAAAAGTTATCTGAAGGAATATCATTACAAGCAAAGAGTACGGGTTAGGCGATTAGATACTGAAAATGATTTACAATCATATGGAAGATCCATATCATATTTACCTTTATGAATTTCTATATTCACATTCAGTAGAGATTGACACGCATTACTTTATTGATTTTGCATTCACATCTACGACTTTATTGAAGTCATATGTGGCATACGTATAGTAGCGGAGTGGAGTATTGATACGTATGAAAAGCGTAACTAATTTTTTGGAAAAAGTTACGAAATTTGGGAAGTAATATTCCCCCCTTTTTTCTCTCTTTTTTCTTTCCGAACACTATCCGTCCTTTATTTTCTTCACGTTCACTTTACTCAAATGTCAGTGATTTGCGGGGTTATAATGATATTTCTTTGGTAAGTATCGACGATTGCAAAAAACATCTATTTGAAACCACTACTCCCTTATACGCATATGTTACACCGTTGTTAGAGAATAAACTTCTTTCGACATTTCTGTTAAGAAAAGGACCGCGATATTAGCAAATAAACCGATACGTATTCTACATGAAATGGAATAATAGCTTTCTACAGTTTTCCACTTTATCGTCGTTTCTTACATTTTTGCATCTCAAGTACACAAATATGTTGATTAAAAACAGAGGTAACATGTAAATACACAAAAATAGCAGCTTGAAATACATAACATATTATAAGTTTTATGTATTTCAGCGATTAAATTTTCTTATCGCGTTTCTCAAAACTTATTTGCAATTTAATTCAATCGATATTCACTCGAAATACAATTTAGTTTATATATTTTTAGTTATATTTAAAAGAACGTTTAGATATCTAAATACCAATGTACCATGGTACTTTGTATTATCGGATCATACTTGTTGAATTGAAATTTTTGAAAAGCCCGATTCTCTTGTTGTGCCTACTTACAACATGAAGTGTCAGACCTATCAGAAACCTGTCTGTCTTCGTGTTTATCGTTATTAAATATAAAAAAAGAAAAAAAAACAAGTTTCCTGTGTGTATGTAATTATGTTTGACCTTGACTGAGTAATGGTTTTATTATAAAATATATTAAGTTCTGGAAATGTCAGTTTCCTATACAATAATTTAAGCGCAATATAATATTAAGTACAGAATGAATGATTTCTTAGTTGTTCATGTAATAATTTTTTTTATACAAATAAAGATCAAGTATTTGTTAGCCAAATGTTTAACATTTAATCATATGACACAACGCATGTACGTATAATTTCGGAGGAGGGATATTAATTTATTAAGTCGAATTAATCCATTTGCATCCTTGGATATCTGAAAATATTGTTGGTTTTATTGTTAGTCTCTGTTACAATAAATTTAGTTAATTACAACAGTATTTCTTTTGGATGTAAAGTGTACTGCATAATCGGCAGTACTACTTTGCAATTAAACAGAAAGAAGGAGAAGAACAGCGTAACGAGAAATACATCTGTATTTAATATAGGAATAACATCTTGATTTCAAAATATTGCGTTTTATAAATGGTATTGGTTGATGTTGTTAAAATGCGCAATACTACTGGGCATGATAACATTCACCAAGCAAATCTTAATTGTTACGTAGTATTTCAAAAAGGATACTAACAAAGTTTCTTTCCCATTTTTCAACCATGTACAACTCCGTAACAAGCATATATCTAAAATACCAATATTTCACAAAAGAAAATAACCTCTGCAGTGTATCAATCATATTTGTAAATACTTGTGAAGATTTTAAGTCGAAATAACGAGGTTACGTTACTACACTTATCGATCTTTACCGAATTCCTAGGCTAACGCAAACGCACAGTGGTACGCGATGGTAAAATGGCGTACGATGCCATTTCATATAGAACCACTGCCGTTGTGCGTTTGTGTTAGTGGAAAGTTTTGGTAAGATTCGACGAGACTGACTGTGAAAATGTACAACGCATTGTAGGTTATCTACCAACTTCGAAACGATAACCAACTTCGAAATTTCCTCCTAAAAGAGATATTTTACGAACTGTGTACGTTTTAAAAGGTAATAATTTATCAACAATACAAGAATATCTAGAAACAACGTATTAGGAGAGATTTTTCGATATATAACTGTCAAACTTTTTCAAGACGTTCTGCAGATTTTGGTGTTTTGCCAGAGAACAAGCTTTGTCAAGCGGAAGCCACTTAAATGCTTGATGCTCGTGCGACAACTGAACAGGCTTATCACTGTTCAATAGTTCTGCTAACCAGTAAATGACAATTTTTGGTTTCCCATTCACTATGTAGTTTAATTCTTCTCTCGCATCTTCGATGATCTTTAGATCAGTAGCGAACAAACCCGCTTCCTCTTCAGTTTCGCGCAGCGCGGTTTCTATGTCCGATTCACCGGGATCGACGTGACCTGCGAATGAAACGTAGAAAAATATCGAAATGATTGTTTCGTGTATTTCACGATACGTTTGCTCATTCTGAAACGAAAGAGATATCGTGTTGTTTGCATGTATGTAGTATTTCAAGTATGTGTATAGGGAAGTTTTAGCTGTTTCTATAGAAGGTTAGGTTCCATAGAACTACAAATAAATATACGAACGATTACATTACAAACCTTTCGGGGGTGTCCAATGATGCTCGCCGTAAGATGTTTGCATTAAAAGGTATTCGATCATTCCTTGAATACGACGAAATATAACAAAACCGCAAGCGCGAGTTGTCATTATTAGGTTTTCAGAGAAATCGTTATTGTGACGTTACCCGGCTGTCTGGACTGCGAGGCTTGTAGCCTGAGTAGTTGAGAAAGAGACGTGACATGCGAAAACAGAATTATAATCTCATTCGACTAGCCGAATGGAAATCTTCCCAATGTTTATGATTTCGAAGTTGGTAGATAATCTACAATGCGTCATAGATTGACAGTATTGATTCTTATCGAAGCCCTACGCTAATAACAGACGCACAGCGGCGGAGGTTCTATTTATGTAAAATAGCTTGGTACTTACGCATCGTAGACCTATTCATTACGCAGTTGCTGCAGACGAACCTTGTATTTAAATACTTATATACATGTCCCTAGGACTTAATTTCTTAATTTCGCATTTAATTAACAATTGCATGCAGTGGATTGGTTAGAAATTGTTTATAATTTTTATTGAAAATTGAAAAATTAATGTTCTTTCTGTGTGAATTCCAGATGAAAGTTTCAGGCCACCACAGGAATGAAGGAAAGGACTTGACCATCAGGAAAAATGAAAAAAATGCAATTATTTATTGAAAAATAACTGTACAAAATGTATTTTACAAAAGGTTACAATTTACCAATATTGTTTTACAGCATTTTAGAGTCTGTTCATTTCTCCCTTATACACCGTACCCAATTCCTTTTGTAAAACATTCATTCTTTAAATAATATTTCATTACAATATCAAATAAGAGCACTCTCAGCCTTCCTGACGTGGGCACAAACATGCGTTAGGTGTTCATGTGTAAGTCTATAGCCTCGTTTGTGGTTCTATTTGAGTGATTTATGTAGAATTTTTTAGTTAATTTGTGTGATTAATTTTTGTGTAATTCTTATTGGAAGATGGTAATGTACCATCAGTAGTCATGCATACCACGAAGGATAACTCGTGGAGGTATTTACCAATAGAGCAATGAGTAAGACAAGGAAAGGAATACGGGTAGACAAGGATAACACTAGATAAACTAGTTAGACAAGGAAAAAAATAAGGATAGATAAGGATAGTACCAGATAAATGAGTTAGAAAAGGAAAGGTATAGGGTTAAACAAGGACAGAAAGCCATCTCGCGTTTAGTGACACAAACTACGATTTTTTAATAGGAACACAGAATATCAACAGAGGTATTAGACAAGGAACGCAATTTTGTGCGAGAAGGATAGATAGAAAACGTTTCCTATTGGCTGGCGGGCACCTATTCTTCCACGGACTAAATCAAGTCGGCCGGGGAGAAATCATTAATAACTCAATAATTACGATAATTTTGTGAACTTTTAGAATTGAAGAATGAAGTGTAGACCTTCAGCAACTTTCACACATAGTTTTTAATGCACTAAACCCTTTTGATAATGAATTATTAACAATTTCAGTACGTGATGTTGGGAACGATACCGCGTACCGTCAAGTACCTTCACAGTTTTTCAATAATTTCGTAGCTTTCTGCTAAATTCTCGTGCAACTAACTATATGCAACTGAAAGGCAACTCTCTTGTCTACATTTTCATATAATTTTTATTAACATATCCCTCATGGTTTGATAGTTATTTAACATTCTTTGGGTGAGTATTACACCCGTCGCATTCAATCGTAACGCATTTTCGTTATTTCAATAGACATGAGTGATTAATTATGCACTTTGAAGCATATAGAATGCAGAATGGACTTTTATTTATATTCTTCGATAATTTTGGTAGCCGTGAGTGACGTGGTTTATTAGATATTAGCAATTGTTCAGAACATTCGACTATACTCCCCGAGTACGATTAATAGGGGACTCTCTGGTATAATGTTTAATTACTCTTAAACTGAACCTCATATGTTAATAAAAATTACACGAGAATATTGCCAAAGGAGTTACCTACCAGACGCATATAGAAAGTTGCACGAGAGTTTAGTAGAAATCTATGAAATTATTGAAAAACCGTAAACGTATGCGGTATCGTTCCCGACATCACGTAATAAAATTGTTAATAACTAATTATCAAAAGAGTTTAATGCATTAAAATCAACAGGAGAAACTAGCTAAAGGAACAGCCTTTCGAACGCATACATAAAAGTGTACAAATTATTCGTGCAAAGTTAGAAAATTAATGAAAAACAAGAAGGATATACGGTATCCCCAACCTAATTTGCCGACAACACCTACTACAATATTTAATAACTAATTATCAAAAGGGTTTATTGCATTGAAATCTATCTGTGAAAGTTGCTGAAGGTCCATAATTTATTCTTCAATTCTAAAAGTTCACAAAATTGTCCCTCGTTGCTATTGCTATCCTCGTCATCCTTATTATATTTAATTAATACTTGTAATCAATTTTTAATCGCTTTAACATTATTAATAATGTAGACAGTGAAATACACTTTCTGGCTTATTTTCAAACACCTCAATTGTAGGTAGAATAATTAGTGTTTCTTGTTAAAGAACAATTTAGAATTATACGGAAGTCTTAAATAAAAATGCCTAATGCTTTAACTTAATAAAACAATTTAATTTTTTAATTTCACGTTCAAGTGCCTGAAATATCCAAGTTCTCATCATTGTACTGTTATCGATCGTGACTGGTATTATATCGTTGCACTATTATTAGCGGTAGGAATTGAAATGATAAACATTTGGCATTTGTGTTTTGAAATAACGAAAGAGGGAAAATTTCGAATCTTAGGATGAATCGGAATGGTTTCAGCCACACAGATTTGCGTTTCGGGATCGATGGGTGTATCGACGATACAGTAACAATGTGCACGCAGAATTTTTTCTTGGACGCTAACTTTCCGGATTTACTTCCTCACCGATATCGATAGTTTTTAGTGCGCTGGAAAATCAGTGATTTTGGACGACGTCGGTATTTCAGATTTTAGGGAAAAATAAGTCCCTAGAATGATACGCGAGTGCGATGGCTGCCGCTTCGATCACCCAGGCTTGGTCGTCGAGACCGGCAGCAGAGTGACATTGCTCTGTCGCTGCCACGATTCGCATTATGTCCAAGCTTGGATTATCCGTTCGTCGATACATACTTACGTACGATCTAGGGTGGTGCAGGTTGAAAACATGTTTCTCTTTTGCTAATGTTAACGCGTTAAATAGATAAAAACGAGCAGTATCGTATAAATAGGAATGCAATTTGAAAATATTCTTTTTATACATATATAATTTTCGTAAGAAATGAAGGTTTCTCATGATAATAGGAACGTCCCGAGCGAAGATTATCGACTCAGTTGAGACGAAGTTGCTGTTGCATGCGTATAATTTCGAAAGGAATCTGAATTGAGAAAGAATGTGTGTTACCATTTTATTATAAATGTTTCTGCTACATTTTGTTGGCTAGATACCGATCACCAGAAAACACTTAGCAAAGCTGTATGTACGTACCTATCTACAAACTGTCACGTGTATGATGGGCGCGCGCGCGCGTGTGTGTGTGTGTGAGAGAGAGAGAGAGAGAGAGAGAGAGAGAGAGAGAGAGAGAGAAATGTGTGCGTGCAGGGCGAAGTAATGCAGCTGGATGGATGACGAACCGGATTCGGTAATAATTCCTTTCTCCTTCTATTGTTTTTCACTACTTACATAATAGAAAAATCACAAAAGCTTGCCACCGGTGCGAGCAAAGTTTTATGTTCGAATCGTTGGTGTGTCATCCGTTCAGCTTTTGGATCTTACGAAGCAAGCGAGTGGCGAACGAACGAACGAACGAACGAACGAACGAACGAACGAACGAGCGAACGAACGAACGAACGAACGAACGAACGAACGAACGAACGAACGAACGAGCGAGCGAGCGAGCGAGCGAGTGAACGAACGAATGGATGTGTATTTATATCGTTTTAGTGTAGTGGAGAGTCGTTTTCTCGCCTACTTGCATTTTACAGGGATATACCATTAACGCTATCGAAGGATCTTACTCTGTAACATTAAGTAATCGCTATGGTAAAGAGATACATTTTCTACAGTATCGTGTCTTTTCTTTTTGTGTAACAGCGACCGCACAGGGAATTATACACAGTGCTGTTTTGTTCAATCATCACACAATCTTCCTTTTCCTCCGTTGTGTTTCTTTTTCAAAGAGAAAGGAAGGAAGAGAATTATCGGTATCGGTTAGAACAACGAACGAAACGTTGCCGAAGGGGAAAGATATCGATGGTGTTACACTTAAACGCTATACGCATATATGTAATATAGTCGATGGTAGGTGGAAAAGTTTGTTTACGTTTGTTACGTCGGTCGTTACCGAAAGCATGCGCGAACAACGAATATTTCATCGAATCGAAATCGAAATCGAAGGTTCTGCTCGACGTTTTGGAGGCACGTTCGTGTTTAACGCGTGTTAGAAACGTGAAAAAATCATTCGAGTTTTGTATTTATTTCAATAAATTAGTCATTGCCCGTTGCGTAACGTAGTCGATTAATCTTAGGCAAATATAAAAAGATCGCGATACTACTACTACTTCTTCTTCTTCTTCTTCTTCTTCTTCTTCTTCTTCTTCTTCTTCTTCTTCTTCTTCTTCGTCTTCTTCGTCTTCTTCTTCTTTTCTTCTTCTTTCGTTTTTCCCTTTTCCTCCGTTTCTTATTCGCGCGAGGCTTGATTTATTTGATTAATTTAGTACCTTCGTATATTATATTACGTATATACACCAAGTCTCTCTAGTCGCCTCTACATTTACAATAATTCCTAATTTAAGTTCATTCAACCGCGAATACATCTGCGAATAAAAGGTTAAATAGCGTAATAGTGTATAGCCAATTACAATACTTAAATATAACCTTACATGGTATCCTTCGTAGAAATAACAGATCTCGTTATCGACGATGTCGTGCGCGCGCGTGCATATTTCCTAGGTATATCCCGGAATTGTCTTGGAGCGAAGTACATATCTATAATATACTTGCAGATTCGCTCTCAACGATAATCCTTAAGTTACGATTATTAGTAGCTCCTCACTTTCTACCTCTTTCTTTCTCCCTAAACATTCTGTCGCAGGATTACTTCTCTATCGATGATAAAATTAAAATTAACAATTAGAATAAAATAATAATAATGAAAATAAAATAATAATAATAGGCTGTACCGCCTTGTAGTGCTGCATAGTTTTAAACCTATATGGTATAGATAAAAAAGTAAAGTATAGTAAAAATATTCGAAAAGTGAAACGATTCGCTCGCGTAACATTTCCAAATGGTTCAATTTCCTTCAACGTTCAG